CAGTGGCCAAAGGATGCAAACTCCTTGGCAGGGCTTAAGCGACCCGTCATAACAAGGCACTGCATAACTGCATCCTTTTCTACCTCCTCTCTCTTTATACCCTCCCGGCAGTTGAATGTGCCACCCTCTATGCTATTTTGTACTATCATTCCCTACACTTAGCTTGGTCCCTTCCAGTTCAAATTTCAAGACCCTGTTCAGTTAGCATCTCTTTAAAAAGTCTTTTCTGACAACATTCTTCCTCCCTTGCTTCCCCTCCAGGTTAGATGCCCTTCTCACATGCTCTGATACCACCCAGAGTTGTCATATGTTCAAATTGTCTGTGAACTTTCTTTCTCCCCATACATCGTGGGCTCCCTAAAGGCAGGGCAATGTCTAACTTACCTCACTAATGCTTGATGCTTGATGGAGCAGCAAGTATACTGGTATTTAGAGTTTCCAATTCTTCATGATTTAGTCTAGAAAGGTTATATCTGTCTAGGAACTTATCCATTTTTTCCAGGTTATTAAATCTGGTGGCATATATTCTTTCATAATATTCTAGTATGATCCTTTGTGTATCTGTAATGCCTGTGGTGACTTCTCCTCTCTCATTTCTGATTTTGTTTATATGGGTCTTTTCCCTTTTTTCTTTAGTGAGTCTAGTCAGGGGTTTATGAATTTTATTAATATTTTCAAAGAACCAGCTCTTTGTTTTATTGATTTTTTTGTATAGACAGTGTGTTCGCTATTTCATTCCATTCTGCTCCAATTTTTATTATTTCCTTTCTTCTGCTGACTTTGGGCTGTTTTTTATCTTCTTTTTCTAGTTCTTTTTTTTTTTTAAAATATACTTTATTGATTTTTTACAGAGAAGAAGGGAGAGGGACAGAGAACTAGAAACATCGATGAGAGAGATCGATCAGCTTCCTCCTGCACCCCCCCTACTGGGGATGTGCCCGCAACCAAGGTACATGCCCTTGACTAGAATCGAACCTGGGAATTTTTATTATTTCCTTCCTTCTGCTGACTTTGGGTTGTTTTTTATCTTCTTTTTCTAGTTCTTTAAGATGTCATGTTAGGTTGTTTATGTGGGATTTCTCTTGTTTCTTGAGATAGGTCTTTAATGATATAAACTTCCCTTTTATTACTGCTTTCACTGAATCCCAGAGGTTTTGATATGTTGTATTGTCATTCTCACTTGTCTCTATATATCTTTTATCTTCAACTTTAATTCAAATGATGAAAGAATAATCACTTATTTGATCCCCATTAAGATAGTCAACTTAGAAAAGATATTTTCCTGTATGAACTTTTCCCCAATCGATCCCATTTTATTCTGATTAATAAACTTAACCAGCATATGTTGCACCGTAAAAAAAGATCTGGAGAATGTTAGATGAAACCATGGCCATATTCCATCATTTTATGATTCAGTGACTTAAGGGAGTAGAAAAATTGATAGTTACACACTTGTTAATTATGGGGAACAGAAGGCAGGATTACTTTCATTGAGATAAATAGGCCCTGGTATCAGCCCCGCTCCCCTTAGAGGCCTGAGGCTGTCATCCTGATGGATCATTTGAGAGACTTAACCAGATACACACTTGACAGCTGTCATTAAAAGAGACTTTACCAAGGCAAGGGCAACTGGCTGCCTATAGCAGTGAGAAATAGGTAGTCTCCGCAAGTGCACCCTTTGAAAATTGCTGGATACATGTGAGGCCTGTTATTATTTGTTATTACAATACAAAGGATGATTGAATGAACACTGCCTTCCACTTGGATGTTAAGCAGCCCTTCCTCAGTACCTGCATTAGGCTATAGGTGTGTCAGCGTGGCCTCAGTGATATGTTTTGTAATATTTCAACATTGTTTTAAGCATGTGTCCTTTTCAGCTCTGTAATTATTACACAATGCATGCTGCCTTAGAAAATATGCATTTCATAGAATTATTTGAAAATAAAATCCTAATAGGTCATCCTTTTAAGTATATTAGCTGAACTTTAGGACTGTCATATCCTGGAACATGTGCAATAATATTTTTGAGGGCATTGCTACATTTTAAGGAATGACATGCTTAAGTATAATTTTGCCAGATGATATAAGAATATTGCCAGGAATATGACTTATTTGTGAAAAATGCTCATGAGTGTTTGTTAAAAAAAATAAATAAAACCACCACCACAAATCTGGTGCGAGCTGTTAATGTGCAAGATGCTGTGCTAGTGAGCTAGCCTCCTGGGAGGCGAGTGTGAAGTCCAGAGGACTCGCTCCTGGATTCTTTCGTTCCTAGAGTCTATTTGTTGCACACTGTCATGATGTCCCAAAGTAAACAAGTCATGTCAAGTTCAGGTCTTGTCCACAACAAAATAAAAATGTGACAGTGATAGCATTTGGCTGGACAGTAACTGAAAGTGGACGAAAGAGATTTTGTCTCATTGGAGACTGACTGTGTTTTAGTTGTTTTTTTAAATTTGCGATTCTCCAACTAATGAAAACCCGTGGAACAATTAACTTTACAAATCTACACAGGGAATTTGTAATTTCGTGTTCAGAGGCGATGATACTACAAAAGAACAAAATTTCCCAAGCATTCCCCCAAGCAGACACCCCCACTTAGTGCAATACTAACAGTGTCTCGAGGACCTCAAGGGGGCACAGCTGAGACCTCTTTGGTGCTGCCAGGTCCCTAAGGGGATCATGTGCCCTAGGAAGGACATGGTGATGCTCAGGATCCTGGCACATGGATGTGAGGTCCGTGCCAAGTCTCTGTGGGGCAGTGGGAGTCTGTGTCCTGTCTCTATAGGAAGTCTCTCCGTGCGGTCTTGCTGTGAAGTATCTCTGAGGCCACATGTGGCCCCTGTGTATTGTCTCTGGGTGAGGTCTGTGTTGGAGGGATCTTTGGGAAGTCTCTGTGACATTGGTGTAGAGTTTTAGTATGAGGCCTCTGTGGAAAGTGTCTGAGAGAGGTGTCTGTTGAGAGATATCTCTGTGGCGAGTGTCTGCCAGTCATCTTGTGGGAGGTCTCTGTGTGTTGCTTTTGGGGGAGGTGACTGTGAGGTCTTTCTTGTCTCTGTTGGGCGGTGTCTCTGAGGTCTGTGTGCGTTACCTTTGGGGAGGTGTCTGTGAAGTCTTTGTTGTCTCTGTTGGGCAGTGTCTCTGGAGAGAATCTCTGTAATATCTTGTGAGAGAGGTCTCTGTGGAGAGAGTCTCTGTGAGGTCTCTGTCTCTCTGTTGGGCAGTGTCTCTGATGCCTGTGTGTCTTTCTGTTGGGAGGTGTCTCTGCATGTCATCTCTGTGAGAGAGGTCTCCGTGGAGAGTCTCTCTGTGAGGTCTCTGGTGGGAGGTCCCTGTGTGGGCCTCTCCATAGTTGGCCTTCCTGCACCTTATGGAAGACTGAGCAGCAGCAGCTGGGCAGAGGGACTTGCTCCTTCCTGTTTCTCATTTCACCAGTGTCCCAGTCTGTGGCACTTCTGACAGGAACATGGGGTCCACGCCCAGCTTCCTGCACTCCAAGAACTCACCTCTCTGTGCTCCTGGGAGCACCCAGCAGCAGCCAGGCTCAAGGTCCTGAGCTCCTGAGGGTGCAAGGCACGCTCTGCCCTGGGTGTCACCCTTCCCACAGGTCCTGGCTGAGCTGTCACTGCTGCCCCCATCCTCACAGTCACCCCAGAGACATTGCTGTCTTCCTGCTTCAGGTGTGGCTGGGGGCGGGGAGGGGGCAGCTGCACTAGGCACAGAGCACAAAGGCACCCCTCCTGGGCTGCAGCCCCATCCTGGGCAGGTCACTTCCACTTTCCCGTGTGCCACGTCCTGTCCGATGGCCTCTGCTGCCCGGCTCTGGGGTGAGCGAGACTGGAGCCAGGTAAGACTTACGTGATGGCAGCTGGTCTCTCAGCCTTTTGAGTCCCCATATCTCCCAGGGAGCAGTCTTGGTTCATGTGTTTCTCTGAAGGTTCCCATGCTGGGTGTGGCATCCCGAATTCCCTAGTCCTGGCTTCCCCACCTGTCCTAAGTCATCCTTTCAGGAGGTGAGGATGCACAAGCTTATTAACTACTGTGAGGACATTAACCTCCCTGCTTTACTTTTTTGAGTTTGGCCCTAGAGGTGGCTTCTTTAGGTCTGTGGTCAGGGAGCTGGGGTGCAGCCCTTCCCCCACCCCCAGGCTGGTAGATGGCGCTGGGACCTCGGGCTCCTCGGTCACTGCACATGGATGAACACTCTGTGCCACTTTGCCTTCTTCCTTGGACCCCACCTTTTCAGTTCTTTACCCACATTCCGCCTGAGGTTCATCGTGTCCGCCTGTCAGATACTAGTAGGTACCACAGTCATGCTCCATTCCATCAGCCAGAACTGCTTCCCTCGGATTTACATAGAGGAAGGCAGGTGACCCATGACCATGGCCATTCATTCATTTGGGGCAGAGGTGAACTCAGCCCTCAGCAGACTCCCTGACGCTGCCACCCATCCACAGAGTGAAGAGTGCCTTCCTCACGGGGCTCTAAGTGTGGGAAAGGCAGGGGTGGGGAGGGTGAGCTAAGAGGGGTTCACAGGGCCATCTCCACCCCAGCCTTCATCGGGGAGAGAAGGGGTCTTAAGGGCAGATGTTATCAATTTCACACCAAGAGCTTGCTTCTGAACTCAGGGCCCAGCAACCTCCACACCATTACCCCCACCCCCCAAACACCCATCCACTTTGCTCTGATACTTTCTGGAGCCTGAGTGGGAATCTCCAGCCCTGCGATGTCCCCGTAAACCTGTCCCCTACAGCTGCATAAAGTTCAAAGTAGAGCGGAAGCAGGAGAAAGATGGGTTGAACCAGATCCTGGGGTGGGGTCTTCATGGGTTTTTCTCTTTCTGTTTGAGTAGTTTTTGTTATTTGTGAAAACATATGGTGCAATGAAGGAACTTGAGATAAGGAGTGAGCTTGCAATGTCAGTCTCCCTCTATGCCCCTCCCTTCTAGAAGCCAAAGTGCACACGGAGCACACCAAAGACAGAAGCCACTGCACAACCTCTTAGGAGGAAACAAACATATATTGAGGAAAATTAAATATTTTGAATGTGTTGAGAAAATGGACTGATTTTTTTCATAGAGACATGTTTATGGTCGACCAGGCAAGACACCCACCCGAAAAAGACAGTGCCTCGGGCAGTGTTGAGGGTGGCCTAGGGCACCTGGCACCTTTGGCCCATCCTGGCAGAGATGGACTGGAGACAAAATCTTCTTGGGGGGCAGAGATGTGAGGCAACTCAGGCCCAAGGGCTCATCATTGAGTCTGATACTTTCCAAGGACTCTGTCTGTCGGACTTGCCCTTCCCTAGTGGAACAATTCTGGTCCTTAGAGTTGGCCTGCTGACTGCAGGCTGTATGACTCATCACTCCCCCTTTCTCTGAGTAGAAGGGAAGCCTGTTGTAGCAAAAGCACCCACACACTGGGGCTTGGGGTTCCTGTATGTGCTCATTTAACGCTGTGGTATGAAGTCCATGGTGAATGGCAATTTTCTCCTCTAGAATCTGTCCTACAGTTGTTATGAGTGTCTGAGCCTCAGGGATCTTGGGGTCCATAATCGATATGCTTTTGACTGGTCCTTGGCCCTGGGCAGGGGCTGAATTGAGCTTGTAGTTTAGCAGAGCATCCTGACCTTTGAGTTTTTTATTCGAGAAAATCCCCTGAAAAAAGAGCCTCATTCTTTGTCTGAAGAAACTTTCTGGAGGACCCTGTTTCTTCTCTGGCCCCAGCTGAAGGTATTTCCTCCCAACAGAGTCTACTGTGCCCATAGCCATGGCAGAGGGGGTCTTTCTAACGGTGTGAGAAGTCCCCAATTTCTCAGGCCCTTCTGCCTGCTCTCTTGGGCTGGGCCTCCTACAATTCTCTCTCTTCCAGGCAGGGACGATCATTTGTCTCTGATTCTTCCAAGAGTCTTGAACATTTGAGATCCTGGGTTCCTGCTTCCCTTGGCTGCTCCTTTGGGGTGTCTTAAGGCCACATAACACATGGGAAGCTAGCCTGACTCCAGGGAGCTCTCTCTGGAAGGGGCGATGGTGCACCTGAGAAGCCAAGTTGTCTGCAGCAAGGGGCTTGTGTGTGGGACAGTCTTGAGGTTGGTTCTTTGACGGTACCTTCACTTTGGACTTAAGTTCATTAGTGACCTCATTTTTAAGGCATGGCTCTCCTGGATCTTGGAGAACAGACATTCTAGGGAATAGGGAGACGCTACTGGTCCTTGGAGCTTCCACATTCCTCAAATGTGCATTGATGTTTTGGGATGTTGTCTGTACATTTGTTCCCAATTCTGGTTGAAGAGCAGGGGACCTACTGGCCTCCATTGTCTCCTCCACCTCTTTGGCCCTCAAAGATTGGGATCCTAAGTTCATCTCCAGCATTGTTACCCTATTGAAGGGGTCTTGTGAGGCCCCACTCCTACTCTTCCCTCTTGGCTCATTCCTGGCTATTGCTGAACTTGGACTGAGATCTAAGCTGCCCCTCTCGGCCCACTCCACCTGTCTAGTCAGAGAGGCCTTTGCAGGCCCATGGTCAGCACCAGGTGGGGTCCCTCCCAGAGCACTCTGCATGTCCTCACACACAGGTGAGGGGGCAAGGAGAGGCCTTGCCAGGGTGGGAACTGAGTCTTCTGGTTTCACTTTCTCTCCTGGACAGGCCTGAGGAGGTTTTCCCGGGAACTCAACAAACTTGACTATCGAGTAGGCCCCAGATACACAGCTGGGTGAGGGGGGCAGGGGGGACTGCAGAATGGGTGAGGCCTGAACCCTTTTCAACTTAAGGAGACCCATGGGCTTGAGGACCTTGAGGGGCAGGCCCCACCGGTGCTTCACCCATAACTTTGTAACATGTGCTTCTAGCACCTTTTGAATGTCTGTATCGAGAAAGAAGGCCCCGGGGGAGGCGTTCATGCAGGGTTCCCAGCCATTTAAGATTCCTAGATTTTTGGTTTCCATGTGAGTGTCAGCCGTGGCATAAGAGTGGTTGACAGGAAGCCAGGGTCCATGCACACTCATCAGGTTCTTGCTCACCTGTCCCAACTTTCTGCCCAAGTGGCCTTTTAGCGTGTTTTCTAGATTTTTGTCTAAGTTCCTCAGTAACTCACTTCTGGAGTCCCTTCTCCAAAGCATCTCATCACTTTCTGACTCCTCAGAGTCTCCCCTCTGAAACGTCACTAAGGAGATTTCTGAGCCCCTGGAGAGATCTTCTGGGACCTTCCCTGTATCGGGGCTTAGCTGAGGCCCCACGTTCTGTGCATCGTTGCTGCTTTCACCTGTGAGTGAAGAGGGCTGTGAGGGCTCATGCTTGTCCTTTGCCTGACATGTCCCTGGTAATTCGCTCTGATGTTGCCCTAGTTCTGGAGGTTCTCGGATCTTGGGGGACAGCTCCCAGCTGTGTTGCATATGCGAGTTTTGGGGATGTTGCTCCAGCTGCTTCCGGGGCTCAGGACTGATTGGAAAATTCTTAGGAAGGATGCTGTTCTTGGGAAGGTTGGCTGTGAAGACACTGAAGACTTCCTGAGATCTGTTGACTACAGAGGATAAATCCCACCCACTTTCTACTTGCTTCTGCAACAAGGGCCTTTCTGGATGTTGAATATCAACTGGGATTAAAGATTGCGGCTTATTCTGGGCTGTCGGGCATGATACTCCACAGCCCCTCATCTGAGGTGGAGAAGGTGGTAGGGTTGGTAGAGAGGATGGGAGATGGCCCCGGTCCTGGACCTGAGCCAGAGGTGGGGGCTGTAATTGAAGCATGGTTGGAAGCAAGGGTGGAGATTGGGACTCCAAGTGAGACATGTGCTGGGAATGGGAGAGCAGTGGAGGTATTGTAGCCTGCAGTTGAACTGGGCAGGCACTCGAGATGCCATTGAATAAGAAAGGTGGAGGCTGTAATGTGGAAGAGCCCTTGGATGTCCAGGCAGTAGCCTCCAGGGATTCGCTATGCAGGGAGGGGAGACCCCAAAAAAGCTGGCTGTAGAGCTGCAGAGGTCTATGCAGTTGTTCTTGTTTGTCCTCCATGCTCCAGAAGGGTTGGGGGGTTGTGGTGTCCTGATCAGCACCCAGTGATTTCCACGTATTCCCCAAAGAGTGCGGGTGGTAGTTTGGGTTCATTTGTTTTGGATACAATGCGTATTTTTCATTTTCTTTCAAAATCGTTATGTTGATTCTCTTTGCGATGTGTATCTCCAGGAGGTTCTGCTCATCAGAGCTGAGCAAAGAGAGGGCCCCAGCCTCTGCCTGCCTGTCTGCGGGGTCTTCCTGGAACGAGGCCTCTGGTGGGTGGTGAGACAGGTGCTCTTGCTGGGACTCCCACTGTGATGAGGCTGAGAGGCATGAGGCTTTAGCAGCCACCTGCCACCAGGACAGGGCTGAAATGGGACAGTTTGAGTGGCCAAGGCCTGAGATGGCTGGGGTGGGAGAAGCTGACCGAGGTGTGTGTGGACATGAACTCTGCAGGATGGGGCCCAGTGTCAGTGTCACTGAGTCACACTGGGGAAGAGTCAGAGTGGAGGCTGGTGTTGGGGGGGCAGAGGAGGCTGTGGGAGGTGGAGGGTGGGCCCCTGAGTCAGGGGGAAGTGAGGGGGAACAGGAAAGTGCAAGTGGCTGGGGTGAAAGGTCATCCAGGGGAAGGAAAGGCTCTGGTGGCCGAGAGGCACTCAGGGATGAGCGGGAATGAAGGGAAACTGAGGAGCTGGCGGGCCTGGTGACAAGGTGGAGGCCAGAGGTAACGGGTACTCAGTCACAGGAGCCAGAGAAGCCGAGGGGGACATGGTGGGAGCAGCATCTTCCACAAGCTCCCCACAGGGCCTATTGGCTCCAGCAGGCGCTGCTTTGCAGAACTCACCAGAGGGGTCTTGATGGGAGCGCTGACGAAAGCTGCCCTGTTCAGGGGGCCTCTCCAGGTGGCTGCAGGAGATGGAGGCACAGGCTGCAGCCAGGAGCAGGCGGGCGGGCTGGGTGGGGTGGGCACCTGGGGCCCAGGGTCCTCCATGGCCCTGACCCTGACTTCCCAGTGCTCCTGCTGTCCCTCACCTCAGGGCCATAGCCACACCCTGTCCCATGGCCCCTCCCAGGTCAGAGCCAGGCGGCCTAATGTGACATCATAGGTTCGGGAGGGAAGAGGACCCTGGAGAGAAGGGGAAGATTCTTTACCTTCCAAGAAGATTGATTAGGCTCCGAGCCTTTTCCAGTTCTTGCAGGCACTCTCTGCAGGCTGGAAGTCAGGAGACTGGGTCACATGGTACACCAGGGCCAGGGGTGTTACAGGAGGCTGACTGCCATGGCCCTTTAAGAGTGACACCTTGGAGAGCTGACTCAGGAGCCCAAGCATCAGGGTCAAGGCCACATGACCCCTGACAGCAATGGCAAGGCTCAGGACAGGTAGTGCTTTGTCATTTAAAAGTGTTTCCTATCCACTACCCCTGCGGCCCTCCCTACTTCCCTGTGGGGGAGAAAGGGCAGGGGCACCTGGGAGGAATCTGAGCAAAGGTGAGCAGCACGCCCACAGGGGGACCTGGAGGTCCCAGCTCCCAGTCAGGCACTACTGGTCCACAGCAGCCCAAATGCCCCTCCTGGGACCCCTGCTAGGGAGACACCCATTCCCAGGCCCTAAGGCTTCGTTCCCAGCACAGAATCTGGGAAGCATCTGCCTTCTCCCTCCTTCCTGGAGCCTCCCGAGGGCTCTGCTTCCTGAGAGACGGCTCTGCCCTGGCATCCTCGGGGACCGGGCCCTGGGCCTCAGGGACATGCAGATGGAGGCAAACTCCCAGGCAGGGCTGAGGGAGGGCAGCAGCTCACCTTTCAAAGCTCCACTTTTCCTCCTGCTCCTGCTCCTGCTGCTCCTCCTCAGCTCCACTGAACGCTGAGACAAGAAAACGAGGGGCTGGGACCCCATTCTCACTCTCCTCTCTAGACAAGCGGCAGACGCTCAGTGTTCGTGAACAATATGACTTTCTACATTTACCTACTGCGGCATTCTGGTTTTTCTTTTACTTATTACTATTTTTTAGTATCAGAGTGTCTTTAATGCTGAAGTATTCTGTGGAGTCTTAGCTTTATTGTTTCTTCTCCAAAAGTATTGAGAAATTCATGGTTCAGTGAGTATTTATGATAGAAATAAAACCATGTTGATTTAAAGCTGGCTTTTACGTAGTTGTAAAGTGGGTAAAATATTTTGTTTTCTTCTTTGAAGAATGCAAAAATAATTTTCTATGTGAGATGCACCATTGATTTCTTCTATTTCTGTTTCTCAGCTCAAGAAACACACACATCCTCAGACATGTGGGCCCACCTGGAGTTCCCTTAGGCCACAGCCCGCCCCAGCCCCTGCTAGCGGCCCCCAGGGGCTCCGTCAGGTCCCTGCCCTCGGATCAGCCCCACAGAGGGGAGGCTCGCCCCAGACACCTGCCAAGAAAGGCGGTGGGGAACCAGGACTCTGGGCCTGTCCCCCACAGGTCCAGCCCTTAGAATTCTGTCCTTGGCCACTGGTCACTGTGTTTGGGGCTGTGCCCTAGAGCTCCCACCACACCTGGCCTCCTGGTTGGAGATCTCTGCATAGAAATCCTCCCGCCTGCTCTAACCCCTACCCTGCCTGGCTGGTTCCTAGAGGGATGAGGTTCTAGTCTTTCCTGAGAGCAGTTGCTCTTTCTTCCCATCCAAGGAGTCTCCCTGGGTCATTCAGAAAAGTGGGAATAAGAAGAGAAAAAAGACCATCTCTGTTGGGTCTGGGCCAAGGGATCCTTACCTTCCTGGTGTTTCCATGTTCCCTCGGTGGTGGGGAGGGCCCATCACTCTCGGAGCCGTGGACTAACACAAGGAAGAGCAGCACCCCACACACGATGCCCAGGATGACATCGATCACCCAGCAAGGACTGGAGCGCTGCCAGGTAGCAATGGCGCTGTTCAGAGGGGAGAGAAGGCTCTCCATGATCTGACTCGCACTGCTGCCCTCAGGCAACGGAACACTGCCAGCTCACTTTGGGCAGAAACCCAGGCCTGCATCACAGAGCTGTGACCTTGTCATAAAGGTTCCTGCGGGTGGGGGAGGGGCAAGAAGAGGAGGATGCCCATCCCCCACCACCCAGCCCCACATATCCCTGTACCCTTCTGGACCTTCTAGATCTCTCCTTCCAGCTCTTCTCCATCCTGCCAGAGAGATTTTAGCCAATTTTCTATTAATTTCATCTGGAACCTAGATGTCACCCGGTTCCCTTTGTCCCTAAGAGATCTTGACTTGAGGCCCATCAGTTTCATAAACCTTGAAAATCTGAACTTGAACCTGAAATTGTGGCTATTTCCCAGGGATTTTTATTTTATTTCTTCTGTCCTCAACTCCAGTTTCCGCACATCATGTTTTTGTCTTGTATAAACCCAGGCTCAAAACTTTTACACTTACTTAGTTTTGTGAATTCTTAGTGTTTGTTTAGTCACATTTTCAATCAGAGCTACCTACACACAAAAAATTAAAATTTGTTATTCAAGATGTATAAATCTAAGTATAAAAGAGTTATATGTAGTCAAACCTTTAAATAATAACTATAAATTTGTAGCACTAATAATCCTGGAGTTAGTAAAGCTTTAAACTGCACAAAGACTTTTGGGACACACACACACACACACACACACACACACACACACACTCATCCTTTCACAAACCAATCCAGTCTTTTCAAATCCAAGAATCCATAATTTTTCTACTTAAAACTTTTTTTCAAATGTTGTGTTGGCCCAGTCTTCACTCTCCATATATGTTTTGAAACACACTGTCCTAGTCCCTGAGGGCTGCTAGAACAAAATACCACAAACTGGGCAGATTAAAAACAATAGAAATTTACTTCTCACAGTTCTAGAGGCTGGCAAGTCCAAGGTCAAGGCATGAGGTCATCTTCTGGTGATGGCCCTTTCCTGGTTCACAGCTAGAGCCTCTCGCTGTGTTCTCACATGGTGGACAGAGGCTAGGGACCTCTGGAGCCTTTTTATAAAACACCAATCCCATTAATAAGGGCTTACAAGTACCACTCAATGGCCCTATCATCTTTAGGAGTTAGGATTTCAACATATAAATTTGGGGACAATACACAAACATTCAGACATGTGCACATGTGCTACACCCAGAAACCAGGAATGGGTCAGGGTGAGCTGAGGACTGACCCTTAAGGTTTGAAGGGTGGAAGGCGAGACAAGGGGTCAAAGCCTGGGGCTGATTCAGGTCTTAAGCAGCCTCTTCGGATATTACTAGTGTGTTCTGTCCATATTCGCTTTTCTGACTCTGCCCTGCCTTTCCATGCCCTCCCCTCCAGCCTCAAGTCCAGCCTGAACCATCCAGAGAGAGCTTATGGTACCAAACAGACTTCCCTATGGTACCCTTCTGCATCCCTTCAGCAGCAGTAATCGGGATCCATACGGAAAACGTAACACTCCAGGTGCACTTAAAAGGGATGCGTGTCCCCTCCTTGCTGGTCACATTTTTAGACAGCTTTACGGGAACCAGGGCATTCGCGTTTATTTGACTGCATTGTCATGAACAAGCACATTTTTCTACATCTACCATTGCTCCTATGGTTCCCAGTCTTTTCCTCCTTATGCCATTGTTACCTTGGGTTCAACCTTTTATCAATATTTGGGCTTAGGTCATCCTTGTATTCATATTTGCCCTCTGTATTTGTCTATTATTTTCAATGTTTTGTTTAAAAATTTTATACATTTAAACATCTTATCTGACCATCTTTACCTTGATTCATTAATTATTGTTGTATTATGATTTATTTCTGCCATCTTAGTTTACACTTTATTTTCCATACTTTCTTTATTGTTCTTCCCCACCCCCGCCACCCCCTGTTGAATCTTACACTTTATAGATCAAGTGTTCTTTTTATTTATATGGAATTTGGAAATTTCTTACATTGTAATGGTTTTATGTCATTAATTATGTTAATTTCCTCTTCAGTTTCTTATATGTGTCAATATTAATAGCATCTCAGCCAGCCAAGCAAGCGCTCTTGCCTCCTCTGATGTTGCTTTCTCCATCACAGCAGTCTTTATTTCAAGGGGATATTTTCTGGAGCTTTAATTCTGAGTTATTTGAATATGCTACTCTTTAATCTATATTTTAGGATACAATAAAAGTCATTAACATCAATCATTTTTTCCACAAAACTAATAGCGTGTTTGTAGGTTTATTTTTCTTCCTACTGCAGTATTCTTCTAGAAATATTTTCAAAGGGATTTATGTGAAATACAACTTTTGAGACTATTTTTTGATAACATCATTTTCTGTGTCTTCGAATTTAAAAGACCTTAACTGCATATAATCCAAGGCTTAAAATTTGTTTCTTTTCAATCCTTTAAAGTATTACTCCCCTGTATTCTTGTCTCGCAACATTGCTGTTGAATAGGCCGATGTCAATCAAAGTCAAATTTTCTTTAAAGAATGATCTGACTTTGTACCATTTTGACAGGATGTTACAAAACAAAGAGGGTAAATCACCAAACTAAAATGTTAATACAATAGGAAAGAAATCAAAACCTTCTTGGGACATTCAAGTACACAGGAAAGTTAACCATCAGGCATTCATTCAGAGAAATAATGAGAAAGAAAAGTGATAATGGTAGAATAAAATCAATGAAGGTTAACATTTGTATTTTCAAATTTATATTGTGACTCAAGTATTTCTATCGATGTTTAAGCTCAGAATATGGTAAAGTAGCAATTTGCTTATTGATACTTTCTTATTTTTTGTGTGATTGAACTCACAAGTCATGGTTGGGCTTCTTTTAAAATATTTTAATTTTTCAATTCCGGTTTAAATTTACTATTTTTTATTAGTTTCAAGTGTACAGTATCATGTTTAGACAATCATATACTTTACAAAGTTGTCTCCTTGATATTTTAGGTACCCACCTGGCACTGTACATAGAGATTACCATATTATTGACTATATTTCCTATGCTGTACTTAACATCCCCAGGACTATTTTGTAATTAGCAATTAGTAGTTCTTAGTACCTTTCTTTTTTTTTTTAACCCAGACCCTCAACCCCCCTACCTTCTGGGAACCATCTGGTCTCTGTTTCAATGAATCTGCGTTTATTTTGTTTATATTGCTTGTTAGATCCCACATAAAGTGAAATTATATATTTGCCTTTCTCTGACTAAATTATTTCACTTAGCATAATGACCTCTAAGTCCATTTATGCTGTTGGAAATGGTAAGTATTCATTCTTTTTTATGGCTGAGTAGTATTTTATTGTATATATGTACCACCACTTTTTTTTTTTTTGTAGCACCACTTTTTTATCCACTGGTCTATTAATGGGCACTTGAGTTGCTTCCATATTTTGGCTATTGTAAATAGTGCTGCAATGAACATAAGGGTGCATATATGATTTCAAATTAGTGTTTTGGGTTTCTTTGGACATATGTACCCAGAAGTGGAAACACTGGGTCATAAGACTGTTTCATTTTTTATTGTTTGAGGAGACTCCATACTGTTTTCCATGTCAGCTGCACCGATCTGCATTCCCACTAGCAGCACATGAGAGTTTCATTTTTTCCACAACCTCATTAATACTTATTTATTGATTTATTGATGATAGCCATTCTGACAGGTGTCAGGTGATATCTCATTGTGGATTTAATTAGCACTTCTCTGATGATTAGTGACATTCATATGCCTATTGGCCATCTGTATGTCTATTCAGGCCCTCTGCCCTCTTTTCAATTGAATTGTTTGGTTTTCCAGTGTTGAGTTGTATGAATTTCTTATAAATTTTGCATATTACTCATTCCCTCAATGATGTGCCATTAGCAAATATATTTCCTATTCAGTAGGTTGTCTATTCATTTTGTTGCTGGTTTCGTTTTCTGTGCAAAAACATTTAGTCCCATTCGTTAATTTTTTTATTTTGTTTCCCTTGCCTGGGGAGATATAGTAGAAAAAATATTGCTCAGAGAAATGTCTGAAATTTTACCATGTTTTCTTCTAGGAGTTTTATGGTTTCAAGTCTTATATTTAAGTCTTTAACCCATTTTGCATTTATTCTGTGTGGTGTAAGAAGGTAGTCTGGTTTCATTTTTTGTGTATATCTATCCAATTTCCCCAACACTATTTATCAAATAGGCTATCTTTACCCCACTGTATGTTCTTGTCTCCTTTGTCATATATTAATTTACCATATAAGTGTGGCTTTATTTCTGGTCTCTAGTCTGTTCCACTGACCTATGTGTCTATTTTTATGCCAGTATTACCCTATTTTGATTACTGTAGTCTTGTAATAGAGTTTGATATCAGGTAGCATGATACCTCCCCAACTTGGCTGTTCTTTCTCAGATTGCTGTGGTTATTTGGGGTCTTTTTTTTGGTTTCATATTAATTTTTGGATTATTTGTTCTAGTCTCTGAATATACCATTGGTATTTCGATAGGCATTGCATTAAATCTATAGAATGCTTTGGATATATGGACATTATAAAGATGTTAATTCTTCCTATCCATGAACACAGTATATGCTTCTACTTATTTGTATCTTCCTCAACGTTTTTCTTCAGTGTCTTATAATTTTCCGAGTACAGGTCTCTTACATCCTTGGTTAAATTTATTCCTAAGTATTTTAATTATTTTTTAAAGCAACTGTGAATGAGATCCTTTTTTTTTTTTAGTTTCCCTTTTTGATAGTTCATTATTGGTGTATAGAAATGGGACTGATTTCTGGATATTTATTTTGTATCCTGCTACTTCACTGAGTTCATTTTTCAGTTCTAGTAGTCTTTTGGTGGAATCTTTAGTGTTCTCTATATACAGTATCATGTCATCTTTAAATACTGATAGTTTTATTCTTCATTTCCAATTTGGATGCCTTTATTTCTTCTTCTTGTCTGATTGCTATGGCTAGGACTTCCAGTACTATGTTGAATAAGAGTGGTGAATGCC